GTTTTCAATTGGGCCTCTTCCGAGGCTTTGTGCTCTTCGTATGCGATTTCAAATTCCTTTGGGAATTTGATGTCCTTGATCTCTTCGTCTGCAATCGCACTTGCCATTGTAAGTACAGTAGGTACATTATGCTCAGCAATATCCGGCATTTGCGTGTCAAGCCCGTGTGAACGGACCGCTGTCTTGGGTCGTGGGCGGAGGCTGTTATTTTTAGTTTGCCCTCCGAAAGGACCGAGGCTTGGCTTCGACGGTCGCCTTCCGAAAGGGCCGAGGCTTGGCTTCGACGGTCTTAGCCCATTTGTCACCTCCTCCGGTCCTCCCCCCTTCTAATTCGGCGGGAATTAGAGTAACATCCCGTAGCTTGATTGTACGGCGCTCCGGAATTATTGTAATGCCATGTTTAGCACAGAACGGTAATCCTACGACAGCGTCATAATGGGCTATATTTGCCACATCAAAGTACCAATCCGTTTTAATGTTACCGAATGCGGTACGTGAATATCCGCCATGGGTGATCTTAGATCGGCTTCCTTTGCAGCCGAGTTTCAGTGTAATCGGATTTTCGAGTTCAAAGACGTCGAGCTCGCATATTTGCGCAAATTCAGTACTCACGGCGTCGGTATTCGACCCTAAGTCGAATAATGTCCATGCGCGGACGCCGTTAATTGATACATACGCAGCAAGGAGCTCCGTCCACTCCTTCGGATACTTTGGACGGCTTAGATCGCTGTCCCGATGTAGCGCTGAGCGTATAGCATCCCGCGCTTCGCTTGGCGGTTCTGGGTGCCTTCCTTTTCGGGGATTCGGCGCGTATGCGAACGGCACTGGATCGCGCCCATCATTATGGGCGCCGTCTTCACTCACAAGAAGTTCGTTCATGAAAACGACTTCCCCTCCATCCGTAGAGTAGTCGTTATCTAATGTATCTCCTTGATGTGCCTCGTAGGCCTCCAAGTAATATGTATCATCGTTGTCCGCTTCCTCTGGCGTCGCGTTCTCATTGTCGGCACTCTCCGGCTGCGCTTTGTGCTCCGCTTCTGCGCGCCCATCATCGGCGTCAATCGCGTTCATATGGGCGCTGTTTCCATAGTGATCCGCGGCCAGGTGGCCTTTCTCACCACATGTCCGGCACGCTAGGTGAGCTATTTTTGGATTGAACCGCGGCTTCGCTACATAGTTAGAGTTCTGGGCATTTGAGTTAGGCTCGCGCCCGTCCCTCCGTGTATCCTTAGCATAGTTATTCCCTGTAGCTACAACTTTTACAGGTATTGCATTGTTATTGTTTCTCGGGTTTCTTGTGATCCTGTACGGCGCATCGTCATTGCTGCGCGAGCGGAACGCGTCCCTCTGGCCGGCGCGGTCTCGCCCGGCCCGATCGCGATCTCGGTTATCCGAACGCCGCTCCGGGGACTTCGCCTTTGGGGCGTTCCCGTCCCGACTTCTTCGCAGCATCATCGCAGCCTCAATGGCGATGTTGGAGTTTTCGTATGCTACCGCGTAGCGTAGCATATCCCGTAGTTTAGTGATTCCTATTCGAACGTTTTTATTTCTCATTAAGTGCGTGATATACCCTTGAGGTAATCTGGTCAGAAAATGTTCCGACATATCGACCTCAGAAGGGGGCTGCAATAGTCGAGAAGATGCTTCAATTAATTCGTCGTAAAAGCTCTGTACCCCCGCTTCAGGGTCAAAGGTGACTTCCTTATACTTCTTTATTGCCTTTTCAGGCGTAATATCTATTACAAATCGGTCGAACATCTCCAGTATTGCTGTAATAAAATTCAACACTGGTACTCCTGGGTTAGTGCGGGATACCTTGAGACGCCACCAATGGCGGGCCTTTTCTCCCAATCGGGCAGGTGTGTGTAGTTTGCGCAAGTGATCCCGCCGAGGTCCCGACAGTCCGGTAAGTACAAAGTATTCGAGAAGCGATTCTAGCCAATCCATGAATTTGTCGGCGTCATTTTGTCCATTCCAGGCGTCTGGGCTTGGAGGCTTCTGACTTTTAGTATTTGGATCTGGTTCGACATAGTTTCCTACGTATATTTCAATCATGTATTTAATTCGATTGTGGTATACTGTACGCAAACTTATTCCCGTGAATTCATTGCTGAACGGGATGTACGACCCTTCGCGCAATGCGCGCATGTCTTCATCATCAGATCTCGGCGTTATTCGCCGTCGGTTAGTCTCGCCCGATCCGTCGCTATTGCTATTATTCCCGTTTGGGCCAGATCCAGGGTCCCCGCTGCCTCCCGGGGCGTTTCCTCGTCCCAGCCCTCGCCTGTTCGAGCGCTGACTTCCTCCTCCTGTTCGGGAATTTCCGTTACTGCTTGGATGGTTGCTTGGACCTCCGCTCGGAGGTCCACGATTAATTATTCCTCCGCGGTCCCCTCCGCTTGAGGGCGCGGGTTGCCTGCGTCCTGGCGTCATTCTTGCGTGGGAGTTGATGGCCGCGCCTGCAGCTGATCCATTGTTCTGGGTCCCTTGCCCGTGCTCTGGGCTCG